GCCTTAGAAAACAGCAGAAGATGGTCCAAGTCCTTGGGTCCCGCCTCCTCCCCACGTGGGAAACTTGGATGGAGTTCCAGGCTCTTAGCTTTGGCCTGGCCCAACCATTGAGGGGATTGAACCATTTCCTGAGTGAATCAGCAGATGGAAGATGTCTTTTTCCTTATCTTTCCCTCTCTCTATGTCACTCTATCTTTCAAAAAAACTAAGGTAAATCCTTAAAAATTGTTTTCAGTTAATTAAATCTCACTCATGGTACATTTTATTTGATATTATCAATAGTATTATTACTAAACTTATTTTCTATCTCCCACATCTGTACTTTAAATTCTCTCAATTTTCTGTTTGCAACAATCATGCATGGATTCTATAGATTAGGAATCTGAACTTGAAAAGAGAATTGGCTTAGAAGACCATGGAAGTGGCAAATTGCAATGATTTTCAACTCAAGTCTTCAGGTGTCAAACCTTCTGCTATTTTCCCCAAGTCATTCTTCTTTTCTGAATCTGTAAATGTTTTAAGCAAAATATGCCCATTACAAACTAATTTTAACCAGAGTTCCAGTTAATCAGTGCAAAACTTTAAAAACATGTGCGGCTACTAAGATTTATTTTCTACTCTGACAGTTATTGCCATATGAAACAAATGATGTGCTTCACTCGTGTTTCTGTGTGCTGTGTGTATGCAAGGGTAGGGATGCTGGTAAATAACATTTAGGAACAAATCATGTCCCTTTTTGAGAGTGGCAGCTTACATGTTAAGTACAAGAAAAATGTACAATCCCAGTTCATTTCCCCCCTCCGTGTAATGAAATGCTATCTTCTATCTAGTATATAATTCTAAAAACTTATTAAATATTTCAAAAGTTATGAGCCATGATATATGACATATGAAAAAATATCAAAGCATGGGTTTGGATGGAGTGCCTTGATCCAATACACAATCAGTACCCTTGGATTATCTGCAAGATGAAATCTTCAGATTCACATAAACTTACTTACATTCACATAAACTTACTCATATGCCATTTGGGAGAAATTAGAAGTAGGTGTAGAGGGCCGGCGCCGCGGCTCACTAGGCTAATCCTCCGCCTTGTGGCGCCGGCACACCGGGTTCTAGTCCCGGTCGGGGCGCCGGATTCTGTCCCGGTTGCCCCTCTTCCAGGCCAGCCCTCTGCTGTGGCCAGGGAGTGCAGTGGAGGATGGCCCAGGTGCTTGGGCCCTGCACCCCACGGGAGACCAGGAAAAGCACCTGGCTCCTGGCTCCTGCCATCGGATCAGCGCGGTGCGCCGGCCGCAGCGCGCTGACCGCGGCGGCCATTGGAGGGTGAACCAACGGCAAAGGAAGACCTTTCTCTCTGTCTCTCTCTCTCACTGTCCACTCTGCCTGTCAAAAAAAAAAAAAAAAAAAAAAAAAAAAAAAAAGAAGTAGGTGTAGAAATTTTTTTTGTATCTAATCTAAAATTTGGCTTTTAAAAAACATATCAGATTTCAGTTAAAGCTACTCTCCTAGGAAAATTTGCTTAACATAACATTTAGGTTAGTCTCTGAAATGCATACATAATAGCAGAATTAAAATTCCTTTTTAAAATTTTTATTTATTTGTTTATTTGAAAGGTAAAGAGAAAGAGAGAGACTTACCATTTGTTGATACACTTACAAATGCCTACAGTAGGCATGGCTGGATCAAACCAAAGCCTCAAGCTAGGAATTTAAACTCCATCTCCCATTTAGGAGACAGGGCCCCAAGCACATGGGGCTGCCTCCCAGCATAGGAGTCAGAAGAAGCTGAAATTGGAGGCAGCACCAGGTCTTGAACTCAAGCCCTCCAATATGCAATGTGGGTGTCCCAAGCAGCTTCTTAACTGCTTAACAAAATACCCACTTCATGGTATTATCATTGCTATTTCCCATAAATTGATTTAGCAAAGAAAAAGGTTATGTATCCCAAAGTATTAACCCTTAACACATGATAGCTTGATAGTACCCCAAGGACTACTATTTATAATTATTTATGGTTAATTTTAAGTCACTTCTATCCAAAACTTGATTGTAAGGTACTTCTGGATAGGTAGTATATCATCTTAATCTGTGTATTTCATAGTATATTGTACAGCAAACTACTCATGATTGTCACATGTCACATACGTCACATATCACACTTTCACCATAGGGTATACGCTATGTGTACACATTTCTAAAAGGGACAATAGTATCAAATGGTATTTAAAAGATACTTTATTTTTGAGTTTCCTATTTCAGCAAGATAGTCAATTCCCCATTCCCCCTTCTCCACACACATAAGCCAATCCTACACTCACTGCCTTTCATAGCCTCTTTTGTTCAAGAAATGCACTAGGATCAGTGCCTCTGACCTCACCTTCTTCTTCCTCTTCTAGAAAGGCATTTATGCACCACATGCAAGCCTCTTCTGCTGTTATTAATAATCATTGCTACTGTATCCATTCTGCCTTCACCAGTCTTGTTACCAACCTTCTTTGCTTGTGTACTCTGCACAGGCTAGGCCAGCAATTCTTCACATTTTACACTCAGAAATTGTTTGATGTTCATTTCATTCCTCTCATAGGATCTCACATTCAGTATGTTTTCTTTTGATAGGCAGAGTTAGACAGAGAGAAAGAGAGAGAGAGAGAAAGGTCTTCTTTCCATTGGTTCACCACCTAGATAGCTGCTATGGCCGGTACACTGCACCTATCTAAAGCCAGGAGCCAGGTACTTCCTCCTAGTTTCCCATGTGGGTACAGGGCCCAAGGACTTGGGCCATCCTCCACTGCCTTCCCGGGCCACAGCAGAGAGCTGGACTGGAAGAGGAGCAACCAGGACAGAATCCGGCACCCCAACTGGGACTAGAACCTGGGGTGCCAGAACCGCAGGCAGAGGATTAACCTAGTGAGCCACGGCGCTGGCCTCAGTATGTTTTCTAAGTAAATGTCACTTAATGTTTTCTTCTCTCTCTCTCTCTCTCCTCCCTCCTGCACACAGCCTCTCCCTATATAAAGTAATGGTAATAATGATGAAGAAGACAATGGAGATATGATTTACACAGTTTGGGAAGAGGAAGCCTTTCTTTGTCATTTGCATGTTATTTTTCTCAAACATGTTTACATCAGAGCTTCCCTGTTATTTGAGGAAATCATTATGTTGTACAACAAGTTGACTTTATTGCAGAGCACTGATTTTCTCTTTGGCTGATTTTACTTTTTTGGAAAGCAAGTACTACTTAGTCAATGTGAACAGAATTCTATCTGTGAAGGGTATTTAAGCAGTGTCCTACAAATGGAACTTCTATGATTTTTGACTTCTCATATTGGGGAAGTCCTTTTAGAAAAGCAGTCAGAAATGTGTTGCAGAAGATTCACCCAAAGACTATGATCTTTCTTGCCAGTGCGACTGCAATAGGGAATGATCACAAGACATTTCTTTCCAGCAGCAGATGCAAGCAAACTGCTGTATAATACATGAGCTGGAAACTCAGGTTGTCTCAGATTTTAAGATTATTTTATATCATTACTTTTATGTATTGTTTATTTTTATAATTTACAGTTTCTACTGTGAAGGCAAGTGAAATAAATAGGTAGATTATTGACTTTTAATCATCCAGAAATAAAAAATACCTGAGCTATTTGCTTCTCAAACCCTCCAAATGAAGAAAATTATACATCCTAGTAAATAATAAAGGCATAATATTTTAAAGAATGGGCTAAGGAATGTTTTTAGTAAATTTTGTCTTGATTAAAATCATTTAAGAGTACAAGTTATAGTATTTTGTATGTTCTAACAGTTAGGCATGATGTGATTCTTTATCTGTTTACTGGGACTCTTTAAAGGAGAAGAAACACACACACACACATCCTGACACACATACTCTCACACTCATACACACTCATATACACAGTCACCCATACTTACACACTTACACACACACACCCTCAGGCACACACTCATACATGCTCACCCATACTTACACAGTCACACATATATCACATGTATACTCTCACAGTCACACATACACACTCACTCATACACACACTCACCCATACACACACTCACTCATACTTAGTCACACACAAACAATTATACTATCTGATTCTAGTTAATTGGGCAGACTAGGATTAGTTATATTTCATCAAACATTCCAAAAAAACCTTTCCGAGGGAAATAAATTCATCTCTGGATGCCACTGGGCCTTGGAAATCATAGCTACACCTTCTGTTTCATTGTGGGCTGGCAGAAAATAACATACAGCTCCTTGTAGGAGCTCAGCTATTTTTCACTGTGAATTAGAATGCACTTATCCATTGTGTGAATTCTTTTTTTTTTTTTTTGACAGGCAGAGTGGACAGTGAGAGAGAGAGAGACAGAGAGAAAGGTCTTCCTTTGCTGTTGGTTCACCCTCCAATGGCCACCATGGCTGGCGCGCTGTGGCCGATGCACCACGCTGATCCAATGGCAGGAGCCAGGTACTTCTCCTGGTCTCCGATGGGGTGCAGGGCCCAAGCACTTGGGCCATCCTCCACTGCACTCCTGGGCCATAGCAGAGAGCTGGCCTGGAAGAAGGGCTACCGGGACAGAATCCGGCGCCCCAACTGGGACTAGAACCCGGTGTGCTGGTGCTGCAAGGTGGAGGATTAGCCTAGTGAGCCGTGGCGCCGGCCCCATTGTGTGAATTCTAAACTTTTACATTTTAGACTTAGCTCCATTTTAAGAACAAACTTTTCCTATTTTTTAAAAAGTTTTCTAATTCTTCATTGTATTAAATGTATTATTTCCAAATACTAAGGCCTTAGGCTACAGTCCTCTCTTAAAGGTTAGAGTTTACAATTAATCATTGAATCCCTACAATATGCGGGCATTTATCTAAATTATTTACTTAATTTAACCATCTTCACATGAATTCTGGGTTAAAGGTCAGGAAATGAAGGAAGTAGGGTTGAATAAGCAGGTGAGTGGCAGAAGGTTGTGCTCTTAACATCAGATGAATGTGGCTTCTTGGGTAACCAAGAGTCTGCTTGTGTGTCTTAGTTATCATAGCAATACTTAGTATCATAATTAAATAGAGGTATTTTCTAATTCTTCTGTTTTTAATTTCAAAGATTTATTTATTTGAAAGGCAGAGCTCTATAGAGAGGGAGAGAAACTAGAAAAAGGATCTTCCATCCACAGGTTCAATCCTTGAATGGCCACAATGGCCAGGGCTGAGCCAGGCTGAATCAACAAGCCCGATCTCCATCTGGGTCTCCCACATGGCGGCAGGGACCCAAGTTCTTGGCTCTTCTGCTTCCCAACAAGCTCCCTGCTAATTCTATTGGGAAAGTAGCAGAAGAATGCAGATGGAGTTCCTGGCTCTTGGCTTTGGTTGACCCAGCTCAAGACCTTTGTGGTCATTTGGGGAGTGAACCAGTGGGTGGAGGATCTCTCTCTCTGTCTGTCTCTCCCTCTCACTTTATCACTTGCTCTGCCTTTCAAATAAATAAATAATGCTTAAAAATGGAGAATCATTCTGTTCATACTTAGACCTCAAGCCTGCATGTTAAGAACTTACTAATTTCATATCTAAAATTGTCTTCTAGAGAGGATTTTGTCCATCTTATTATAATATCGTATGATGAGTGGTTATATACAGTTCATGTTTTGTAAGGAGAAAATTTGACACATCTCCAATTAGGTCATCAGTTGTTTGAAGGCAGATTGGAAAACCAAGGAATGTGTTGCCCATGATGGAGGTGAGAGTATTTTACTGCTTCTGCTCTCCATTTGTCCCAAGACTAGCACAGCACTTGGGAAAGCAGTAACTCAGCCATGATGAATACAGTAAATCACATGATTACATATATTTGAATGAATGAGTTGGTACTAATTTTTTTCAGATCCCAAGAAGGAAATTACAAGTCTGAAGTCAACAGCAAACCCAGGAAGGAAAGGACAGCATTTACCAAGAGCAAATCCAAGGACTAGAAGCAGAATTTGCCCATCACAACTATGTGACTAGACTGAGGAGATACAAGATAGCAGAGAATCTGGATCTCACCAAAAGACAGGTAAAGCTGGGCATTGCCAGGGATTGTTTTCATTGCTTTGGTTCAATAACCCTCTTGTACCATTTTTAAAATATCCGAATCATTGTTCTTAATTATCAAAAGGAAGAAAGGTGTGCTATTTAATGATTAAGTATTTTTACCCAGCAAAATGAAAAAATTAAAAATTGGTGAGTGATTTTATGGGGGAAAAAACCCTACATTTATTGAGTTTAAAGAAGAATTCTGTGTTCTGCAATAACATTCTTTCTGTATTTGTTGGTGGTGGGGAGGTGTGTGTGAAAATATTTATTTGACATAATGATGGAATGTGGTGAGGAATTTTGTATCCTTTCAAAATCTCCTATTTGGCATGTTAGAAAGTCGACAACCCCTGAGTAGTTTCCTGTATTGGTCAGAATAGGGTATGTTATGTTGCGCTAACACATTAGCTTCCGAGCCTCAATGGCATGATACAAAAATGCTCATTTGCTCACTCTCCATACTGAGTCTCCTAAGTCCAGCTTCCAAATAAAAACTCCCAGCATGGAGGCTCTCTGGCATCTCCACTTATGATGTCATTGGGAACCGCAGAAGGTGAGAAGTCATTGCGAGTTCATGCACTGGCCCTTGAATGCTTGCATGGGCCATGACCCACATTAATGTTTCAGGTTCAGAAATCATCAAATGGTGCAACGTAAAGGAAATGATGGAATACAAGGGCACGTAGACCATTCATGAATATTTTTGTCCCATTACTCCAAATATTTTTGAAATTGTGCTGGTCTTGGTAATGCAAATTTCTGCTACAAACTCAGAGAATACTTTGGAATTATTAAAAATTTGTGGATCTCAAATAGTAAGACCTAAAGAGTACTATTACATTAATTTTGTATTAATTACTTCCTAGATCCCCTTCTTGAATTTTATTTGGATGACAAATGGTCTCCTCTTATGATGCTCCCAGCACACTCTTTGTAAGGGCTGTGACTTGCCCTGGGAGAATCTAACCGACTTACAGTTACCAGTTGTTCAGCTTTAGATAAACATTCCTGAAAGTCAAATGCAAAGATCTTTATGGACAGTGCAGTTATTATTGGCACTTGGAGGGCTGGACTCTCATTTCCTCTTTCACTGTACACACCTCCTCCAGGATCCCACTGGAACCAAGGAAATATCAACAGGGTGCAGACATTTGAATGCATATCTTAGGTGAGAAAACTGTTCATCTAATTTCTTAAATCATCTTTCCTCTGTTAATATTACATCTCAAGCCTGTTAGGTTACTTCTGGGTGGGGAAAATGCATACAGGAACACTTTCATGTGTTTTTATACATTGTCAGTTTGTGTTTTATTAATCATGACTAGTACCTAACTTATGGAGCATAACATTTCCTTCCCTTGAACTTCACAAAGTTCCATCTATAAGTGTACAGCTTATGGCATGCAAGAAAGCCTGTTCCAAAATCTATATCATCAGACAATAGTTTCACTATGTTTTCATTTCTAAAAAATTGTTTACTTAAAAATTTATATACTTATTTGAGAGGCAGAGAGAAAGAGAGGGGGCATTTGTTTTATTTTTTAATTTCTAAAAAAATATTATTTATTTACTTATTTGAGAGCAGAGAGTGAGAGAGAGAGGGGATACAACTATTGCTTGCTCATACCCCAAGTGTACATGATGATCCTCGGCTGGGGGCTGAAGCTGGGAGCCAAGAATCCAATCCAGGTCTCCCCTGTGAGTAGTAAGGAAGTCGTTGACTGAGGCTACCACAGTGGCATCCCAGGATCTATGTTAGCAGGAATCTGGAGCCAGGAGCTGAGCTGAACCCAATATGGAATGCAACCAACCAACATCATAACTGCTAGACTAAAGCCTATCCTGTGTTTTGCTCTTGTTTAATTATTTTTTTAACTGGGAACAGGACAATAGGCAGGGAGAACCACAAATTTCTGTCATTATAGAGAGACAGTGAACTCCAGGAAAGCTAACTGTGTTTTATATAATACATGAGGAAGTTGGAAATTGGAGTTTGCTTCCAGTGTATGTAATGATGGCTGTAATACTGAGCCTTCAGTGAAGAACAAAGTAGAAACTCTGTGTTTACTAACCTGGGGATCTTGGTTTTCCCCAGCTATCTAGGCTTTCAACAGAGGTTTCACTTTTGTCTGAGCGTAATTCCTTTTGAAAAGTAATTCTATAAGCCTAGTTTGAGAGGTTTTGAAGGTATTTGGATATTTTTTTTCCTAAATGACTTAACACTATTGAAAAATAATTATATGTAAATATGATATATCTACATATGTCACATACATGCACACACAACTTTATTTACTTCTTTGAAGTCCCTTTTCAATGCCATGATGTTAAGCCAATGCTGTATAACAAACCACTCTACACATTGCTGGATCTTAATGGATACCGAGCTGTAATTCACTCACAATCTTGTGCATCAGATTTGGACTGGAATTACTTGGCCAGTTTTATTGCCAGCAGTACCTGGCTTCCTCATGAATCTGCACTTGGCTTGTGGGTTGACTATGAGCTGGCTGGGCCTCCACTAAAACAACGCATTTCTGTTGCGTGTGTTTCCATCTTCTACCAGGATAGGCTGGAATCCCAATCTTCAGGTGGTTGTAGAAGCATTTCTAGGAGCTCTGAGGGGGAAAGCTGCAACATGCAAGGTTTCTCAAGTTTTGCTTGAATCATATTGGCTAATTTAGTTTCATTGTCCAGAGAAAGTCATACAATCAAACTCAGTGTGGACAGGAGAAGGAGATTATGTCATTGCCAGACATTCCTAGAATAATCTAAGCATGGCCTTGGTGGAAAAAACAAACAGCAAAACACTTGAGTAATAATTATGTTTTCAAAGAACTGAACAGTTGATATTATGCAGATTATATTTATTCCACAAATATTTAGGTGCAGTTTTGCAAGATAACATGAAAAGGAGATGAATGTGTGTGGAATGTAAATTCCCAATTAAAAGTAAGTCCTCAGGGTTCCTCAGAAAGAATTGAATTGTTATGCAGAACTCTGATTAGAATTCTGAGATTTGCCATTTAGAATTGTGTATTGTTAGGTAAGTAACAATCTTTTCAAGACACAACATGGAGATTAAAATTGCATGCTGTTTCTTTTCCTTAGAAGTCTATGTTATAATGCATATGAAAGAGTGTTTAGCATAAAGTACAAAACCTAACCATCAACCACAGGAGGAAAATCTTTGATATACATGTCAACTAATTATTTTATAATACAAATATACATTGAGCCAGGTATTAGATGTAAAATATTGTTACATTAAGCTAGAAAAGTAACTTCCTGAACACATAGAAGAGGCAAAAACTGAACTAGTAACAACACTGTGGTCAGCATTGAATGTCACAAGAGAAGAATGACAGGATCATATACGAATATGTTCCTGGTTTCATCAAATATAAATTTATTCTTATCCTTCTGCACCTGTACAGCATCTTCAGATTCTAAAGGCTTTATTTTTATTCTCTGGGCTGAATTTTACTGTGCTGAACTTATCAGAAGAAATATTGTAGGTTTGAACAATCAATTTTTCTATCATTAGTAACCCAAATATATATTTCTCCAAAATGCCTGGGTTTCATCCAGTAAAATATTTTCAATTTATTTTCTGAAGATTGGGCTCTTAAAGTTATAGACATAGAGTTATACACAGAATCCTACCTTCCTAAATTGGGAAGTTGCCTTTCCTAGTCAATTGGGGTTACCAGAGCAAAATCCCATAGACTTGGTAGTTTACAGACAGCATAAACTAGTTGCTCACAGCTGAAGACTGGGATCAAGGTTAAGACACCAGCAGAGTTCCTGTCTGGTGAGAGCCTGCTTCTTCCTGGACAGCAACCATCTCACATGGGTGAGAGGTTTGGCTGAGCTCTCTGGGGCCTGTTCTACAAGGCACCCAGCCCAATCACAAGTGCTCTGCCCACATGAGCTAATCACTCTCAAAAGTCCTTATTTTTTCAAAATAATTTTTTGAAAGGCAGAGAGAGAGAGAGGGAGAGAGAGGGAGAGAGAGAAGTAGAGAGAGATAGGGTGATCTTCCATCTGCTGGTTCACTCTCCAAATGGTCACAACTGCCTCAGGCTGGTCCACACTGAAGCGAGGAGTCCAGGACTCCATTTAGGTCTCCTGTGTGGGTGGGTGGCAGAGCCCAAGAACTTGGGCCATCTTCTGCTGCTTTCCCAGGCCCTTCAGCAGGGAGCTGAATTGGAAGTAGAGCAGCTGGGATTTGAACTTGAGCTCATATGGGATGACAGTGTTGCAGGCAGATACTTAGCCCACTGCACCAGTGTGTGGGTCTCAGACCTCACTTTTAATGTGGTCACCTTCACAGACAGGATTCTAACATTTGGGTTTTAGAAGGTACAAATGTTCAAACTACAGTATAGATATTCAATTACTTTAATTTTTCACTAATGCCATACATGCTTATCATGTAATCCTCATCTTGTTCTTGAGTGATACTGTTTTGCAGGATTTCCACATTTTAAATGCTCTAACTAAAGGGTGCAAGATCTCTCTCTCCCTCTCTTTGCTTCTCCATAACTCTGAGTTTCAAATAAATTAACAAATCTTTAAAAAATCTAACTACATATATGCATTCTCGTCATTTGCATTCTTCAATGCACACTTTGAAATACTGTGATTTAGTACAGGAACTTACACATACTCACAAAGGAATATTGTATCAAACCTCATACTGATCAATGTTTTCCTTCACTTAAATAGGATCCTCTAAATCTAACAAATGCTTGTCTTGACTTTGCCAAAGCTTTTCAAGATTGAAGTACAAAGAAATTCTATCCTGCAAATGGGAAAAACAGTAAGTGTTAACTCATCTAGCTCCATGGTAGGATTGTGTAAGAGAAATAATTTTCTCTTAAATGACAACTGACTTTAAAATCAAAACTAGTCTTTGACAGGTTTTCATACGTAAATTTATTGTGATTACCTATGAAACATCCATTTCTATAACTG